CTTATCAGAAATTGGGGAACCCAAAAGTTCATCAGAAGTACTGCTAGTAGAATCTTCAAGAATATCTAACAGTGTGAAATTAGTGACATGCTGGTTTGAGTCAGATGACTTTTCATAGTTCCTTAAACAACTGGGCAGATCATAATCATGACTTTCCAACTTAGTGGTCCTTGTGCCTCTTTTAACCACAAATCCATTTTTGTAGGGGTATAAAACTGGGTAATTTTGTCTCTTTTCAATGTGGCAAAGGTTATAATTTTCAGTATCAGAATATGTACTTTTGGAATTAGTCTTAGTTCCAAATCTATCATTATATTGTCTTCTGTCACTGTCTTCAAAATGACTATATAAGGGTTTCTTTTTTCTTCTCCTATCTATTGTATTATATTTCTGAGGATATCTGGAGAAAAGAGATGTTTCAAACTTAAGGTCAAAATTAAGGGCAGAAGGGAATTCTGTTTGTTGGCTCTGAGACGGTATCATTTTCCAGTTCTTGTGCTTTGATTGTTTTTGTTGGCTGTAGTATTTATCAGTTTTTGAAAGGGCTCTAATTTCTTTTACTTCTGCTTCCTTCAATTTTATGTTACTATTTTCTAGAAAGTCTAGCGATATTTTCTCCTCTGGCTCATATATATCTGCTTGCTGTTCATAGTCAACATCAGATAAAGTTGAAATAATCCTAATTTTGTCATTTTTCGCCTGTGAGCCTTGTCTGATATAAGGAGATAAAGTTGGAGGAACAGTAAGGCAAAGAAAAAAGGGAGAATGGAAAAACAAGTTATAAGATTTAGTACATGTTCAATTAAAAAACTAGAATAGTAAAATTCATAATTTGATAAAAACCAGTCAGACTAAAAAAAACATGAAAAGGAAATCCACATATTCTAAATCAGTACTGTGTCAAAGTAGTCAAATAGTTTTTTCCACATCAGAAAAAAAACAGATATAATAACAATTTTTAAATGCTTCACTTGCTATCACTGGTCATTGCTGAGCTTTTCAGTATTCTCTTATTTTCTAAGAAACAAACAAAAAAAATTAAACATGTTTATCAATATCTAGAATGTATTTGCAATGCCAAAACTTAGAACTGTTAAGTACACCATGAAAATACATCAAGGGATTTTAAGAAACCTAAATTTGCTGATAAATTTGAGTCTAAAAAGAAGCCAAGCTGTTCACATGCTGAAAGTTATATCTGAGGATATGATCAAACATATTTCTTTTAAAAAGAAAAAATATATAAACCTAACAAAAATAATTTTTTACTACTCAGAAGTCAAACCTTGTTACATTACCAAAAAAAGCAAATTTATTTAAAGCATTACAACTTGTTGTTTGTGAATTCTGAAGACAATATGCACTGAGGATCACAGTGAAATGAAAATCTTTCCCTATAATGATTACAATGGCAGAAGCTACATGTTCAACTTAAATCAATAAATACATAAGATAAATGACCTTTCTCTCAGTTAAGTTAAAGACTGCTTGCTTCCTGGGTACCAAGGTGGCAGTGTAGAGAAGGCCTACAGACTAGGAGCTTGTCAGCTCAGTGTGGTCTTTTATAAATCTAATACCCAAAAGCATTTATTTAGGAAACAGAAACAAGATCAAAGTGGTCATTAGTCACTAAAAACCATCCAAGGTGAGACTGATGTTCTCTTAACCCCTCTCAACACAAGAAATACTTTGACTATGTAATATCTAGTAAAGTCCAGCTCTGTTGTCAAACCTCAAATTATGTAAAAAAAATCCAGTTATTCTGGACTCATTAAGCAAAAGCCCATTTGGTTGAGTAAGGAAATCCAACTTAACACATTTTTTTTTTCAACATGCATTTCATTACTCTCCAGTATTCCCTAAATACTCAAACTAAACTTAACTCCAGCCTGGAAGAAATCTTTATAGTTCCAATTTAAATCAATAGATAACCATGGCTATAGTGAATGTAGCTATTTATTTTTACACTTCTGTATTTTACTGGAAGGTACTTCAAAACACATTTGTTCCCTCAAGCATTTAAATTTTCTTCCTAAAAAATTGTGTAAGTAACTTAAGGACTTAGACTATTTTCATGAATTTAGTGTTTACAGGAATAGAAAAATTTAGAAATCAATGTTAATGATATAATCTCTTCAAAACTTTTTAAAGGAGAAATCATTTAAAAATATTAAGTTAAAAATGTCTATAATAAAAAGTTTACTTAAAAATCATGTTAACTTTTCCTTACTTTTTAACCTCATTTTATATACTGATACAATAAAATTTAATTTATATAAGAACAATCAAAGAAAAATTTTAGGAAAAAAAATTGCAACTAATGCTTCTCTAAGTGCTATTTATTATAGTGGTAACCCAGGAAATAACCAAAATGATAATAAGGTAATGATTACATAAATTACAGTCTGTCCAAATAGAAGAGTATGCAGTTTAGGGTAATGTGCCATTATTACTGCAGGCCTGCACGTGCAATGCTTGCAAACACAGAGGGGAAGGAGGGCCAAAATAACTCTTGTTATCATGTTTGTTTGTTTGTTTTTCCTTAAGGTAGGACAATATAAACAACTAAAATCAAACGAATAAAATATGCAAACATTCAACTAATAAACCAAAAAGGAGTAGCCACCAACTTCAGTAGGGTTCTTGCCATGTTTCTTTCTAGAATCAGATTATGAAGAGAGAGTTCTATGCTATGACTAATACATAAAAATTTCACTGAAAATATTTTCAGAGATAGTAAACCGGGACACATGTTATCTGGCAATTTGATGGCCTTGTGCGGCTCGGGATAAAAATTCACCAGTGTAGCAGTTTGGTGAGGTGGGCAAAAAAGTGAGATCATCCTATGGTCTGGTGAAATTTAGAAAATAAAACAATGAGCTTATTGGAATGGTTTTTAAAAAATTAACTTCCAGGAAGGCGAGTTAGCTCAGTTGGTTAAAGCATGGTATTATAACATCAAGGTCAAGGGTTTGGATCCCTATACCAGCCAGTTGCCAAAAAACAAAAACAAAACAAATTTCCAACCAATGAAATAATTGATTTAGGCAAGGATCGATGGATGCTGAAATCATTGGGTAAAAGCTAACATCAAGGTCAAGGGTTTGGATCCCTATACCAGCCAGTTGCCAAAAAACAAAAACAAAAACAAATTTCCAACCAATGAAATAATTGATTTAGGCAAGGATCGATGGATGCTGAAATCATTGGGTAAAAGGTTGTTGGGGAAACAGGATATTGATACAATATCAAGTATCATCCTGGATATTATTAATTACAAAGGAGAAAAGGTAATTTTACATTAGAAAAATATGGCATGTAACAGATTTCTTGACCAAGGGATCAAACTAAACATCACCAATAATAATATGAAATATATGCTTCCTGAATGCATTGTGAAGGACATATCACCATATGTACTGTTTTTGCCAAAAATGTTTAACCTGATTCTAAACATGAAGAAACAATCAGCCATAACAAAATTAAGAGGCATTCTCAAAACAACTGGCCTGGACTCTTCAAAAACTGTATTAAAAAAAAACAAGAAAAAAAGTAATGGAATTTTACTAGATTAAAGGAGACTAAGAAAACAGGAAAATCAAATGCAGTGCACATGATTCTTGATAGAATCCTGGATCAAAAAGGAAAAATTACACACACATATATATAGAACATGATTGAAACAACTGGAGAAATTTAAATATGTTCTACATATTAGATAGTATCATTGTATCATTAAATTGCTTGAGTGTGATCATAGTATTTAGGTTATATAAGAGAATGTTCTTTTTCTTAGGAGTTACGTGCTGAAGTACTTTCTGGTGAAGTAACATGGTATCTGCAAGTTACTTTTTAATGGCTCAGGAAAAAAATGTATTTGTATTTGAATATATATTGGGGAGCATGAGATAAAGTAAATGTGGCAAAATGTTAACAGAACTAGTAAATCTAGGCAACATGAATATGGGTGTTCATTACATTATTTCTCCAATTTTTTTGAAGGCTGGCCAGTAAGGGGATATGAACCCTTGATCTTGATGTTATAGCGCCATGTTCTAACCGGCTGAACTAACCAGCCAACCCTTCCAAAGTTTAAATTTGAAATATTTTATATTAATCAAAATTCAGAGAAATAATACAATGCACACCCATAAAGAAATGATAAATGTTTAAGATGATGGATATGCTAGTTACCCTGATTTGATCATTACATGTTGTGTACATGAATCAAAATATCATGTTGTATCACATAAATATGTATAATGAAAAGTTCTTTTAAATTTTAAGCCTTGTATTTTGGTTTAAAAATTTCTTTTTAAACAGAGCATTGGGGAGCACATATGCATGTATTAGCTTTTATATTCATAAATATATGACAATAGTCTATGGAAGGATACATAAGAAACAAACAACAGTGGGAAGAGAACTAGGAGACAGACAGGGGACGGGAGGAAGACAACAGGTATGAGTAGTATTCTTTACTGCATGCTATATTGTATCTCAAAAATTTTTAAGCCATATAAGTGGTTTATATATTTAAGAAATTAATAAAATAGAATTAAAACAAAGTTCCAGCAAAAGTACTGAATCTGCTATGGTGAGATCATATTGATTTTCTTCTGAAATATTTAGGCAGGAAGAATTATCCAAACATTTAGTATCTGTGATTTTCTTTTTTAAAATTTTGGTTCTGGGTATATCAAAATCACTGAGCTAGGCAGGGAGGCAGGCAGGTTTTATTCAGCTATCCAGCCCAAGTGGCCATGCCCTCAACAGCTGGGAATCTCTGGTCACAAAAAGAAGTATTCCTAATGGAAATATATAAATGTGCATGTGTGGAAGAGAAAAAAGACTGAGAATCTACACAAAATGACTATAACTTGGCCCATCATACTGCTACACTTCCACTACCACCTAAGCTTAAAGCACCCAAATCCTTGTTAGCTGCATCATGGGACCTGGATACAAAGAAGAGAAAGTGCTTTGCTCCCAATACCCACCTGAAGGCCTGCCGCTCTGGATAATCAAGGTCATAACTTTGCATAGAGTCAGTGCAAGAGTCCCGGGAACTGCCCTGAAGTAGCAGCTGTTGTGGCAATCGCACTGGCACAGGGAACTGGTGTACAGAGGCGTTGGGCTGGGAAGTCGTATGGTAAGGAGGTGGGATGCTATTGCTGGTCTCACTGCGATAATCACTATCTCGGTCATCAACAGCACTATCAGGGTCTTCAAAAGCTGTGGAATAAGCAGAGTCATTCAAGCCCCCCAGGTTTATTTTATTCTTCAGAATTTTTTCTGCTTCTAACTTAAGTAGCCACAAGCCTGGAACTTGAGAACAAGAGCAAGCTGAGCTGCACATGAGCCCAGAGACCTCAAAGCCACATGCAGAACATGCAGTTAATATCCATAAATCTCTCTCCTTATCAAATAAGATAAGATACTAGGTTTAATTTTAGTGCTGATTCTTAGAAGAGCTCCAAATTGCATTTTTCCCAATGGAGAATTCTCCAGAGTCGGGCTTCTCTAGCTATCATAACCCTAATTAAAATCTGATTTTTCCTTGTTTTGTTTTTGGCAGCTGGCCGTTTCAGCGATCTGACCCCTTGACCTTGCTCTGATAACACCATGCTCTAACCAACTGATGTAACAAATAGATTCTGATCTTCTACTATTATGGGGCGGGGGGATAGATTTTCCATATCTTAGAAAAAAGAAATTTTTGTTTAAAATTGGCTTGGTGTTTTCAGACTTTCAAAAACATGGACTGAACCAAATAATCAGATTTAACATCAGAAGCTCCTGGAAATCAGGAAGGTCAAAGCCGAAGGTTTAGAAGGCAAGCCAAAGGCTTTAGGTGCAGCTGAAAACAGCAGCAGCCTTACTGTCTTGCTGCGACGTTGGGTTTTTCTAACAATTCCTAGGCCCTAGGCTCAGAATTCCCATCTAGAGCATGGACTAGAGAAGAGGAAAACATAGGCACTGCTAGGGGATATTGCGGACAATGCAGCCAAGCCTCCTAACAGCCTTCTATACAATTCACGGAATTATTTCTGCTTTCTAGGCCAGCACCTGACTGGCTAGTTTTTTCTTAACGTTAGCTAAACTGACCACAGTTACAAATCAACATTGTGCTTGGAAAGGGAGCTCAATCTAATATGCTTTGTAGATTATTTTATAGAGAAGCCATATCTGACACCATACCCTTATGGGTATGACTAACAAGGACCTACATGTTCTTTCTTGCCAGTTCCTATTTGCCTCACAATGAGGAAAAGGAACATTCACCATCCCAAAAGGGAAATACTTTTTAGCAGACGATAGATTCCTCATATTAGTAATTTTTAGAGATAATCTTGGTAGCAATGTGAGCAGTGGATGCCTCCTAAAGACCATAAGATTTGGCTTTGACAATTGCTCAGGCAAGAGGTAAGAACCTGCACCTATGCAGTGGAAATGAAAAGAATTAACAAACTAGAAAAAATAATTCCAGACAGAACTGATAAAACTTGAGGACAAATAGAAAGTAACAGGGAAATGATCCCTTGGCTTCTATGTTACTATGTTAGATAACCTGGTAGACAATAATTCCTCTAAAAGAAACAGGGAACATAAACACGTGGGTTTTACGAGCAAGGAAGAAAATTTGAGCACCGAATTCCAGATAACATCTGTGAGTACATCTGGTGTGGGAGAAAGGGGGTAGGGGTAAGATGATCTTCTGAGCCTTTCTCATTCGAGTTCACAGCAACAATCTGAGGGTAGGGATAAGAAGATGATCTTATGAGATTTTCCCATTTGGGTTTATGACAACATGCGAGTATTAAAAACAGTAGCAGAGAGTCATCAGAACCCCACAAGGAAAAAAAAAAAGCAGCATGAGAAAGAGGCTAACCTTCAAATGGATAGGAACAAATATTAGTAACACTAATAACTAATAATTAATAACTAATATTTTAATAATTAAAGTAAGTAGTCCTTTGACCTAGGCAGGAACAGTAAAGACTGACAACAAAAGCAAACAACAGAGACACGAAGCATTCCACTTAAAAAGCATTCTGATGATACATTAGGAAAAAGAGATTTTGGAGGCACTGGTTTTAGTCCTTGATGCATTTTTTGTTGTAAAAAGCAAAAAAAAAAAAAAAAAAAAAGGATCAAGAGACAAAGCCAATATGCTATTCAGACTTAATTCTTTCTGAATCCACAGAAGGAGTAAGTCTGAAGAAGTCAGTGCTGGATTATTCATGCATACAGATGAAGGGGCAGAAGAAACGAAGGAGACAAAACCAGAAGTCTACTTAAACTCTGGCAGGAAAAGTATTAGCACATATCCCAGAGAACCAAGCTTGAATCTCCAAAGGGGCGACAGCGATAGATAATCCTATTGATTATGAGGCCAGTGAGCTACTCAGAGTTAGGAACCCATGATCCAAAGCCAGAAATTACTTGGATGGACCCATATTTTCTCACTGCATCTGACCTATTACTCTTAAATGATGCTCTGCTTTTTTTTTTTTTGCTAGGCTAAGGGGAGAAATACTCCACATCTTTCCTAAAGGCTAACATTTCTATACTGAAGAAATAAAGGGCAATGGAAAGAAGAGGTTGGGAGTAGAAGAAGGGAAGATATGAAAAGCAGCAAGGAGCAGGAGCAAAGTGAGGTGAGACAAAGGAGGGAAACAGAAAAAAGGTAGGGCAAAGAGGAGAGAGCAAAGGCCAGCTTCCCTTCCCACCCCCCACCCACACTACCCCTAATTTCCCTAGAAAGTAAACCTCCTGGAACCACCAAGGCTGATTAGAAACTAAAAAGGGAAATTAAGAAAAATATATAACACTTCAGCTTGAATAAAAGAATAGCATTTTTAGTGTGTCAGTGACAATCTCTTACTGACTCTACAATCTACCTGTAACTCTGTATCGGCTAGATGGGGAAACTCCTGGCTTTGCAGAGAAAGAAGCTAGCAGAGTGTATGTTTGGTTGCTCAGCCTAAGGAGGGACTTGTGAGCTAGTTTGAGGACAAAAGTTGAAAAGCCCCTGGTAAAGTCTACATGAAAGATGGAAAATTAAAAGGCTGGGAACATTTATTCATTCAAATATTTATTGAGTGCGGGCCGGCCCAGTGGCGCACTCGGTAGAGTGCGGCGCTTGGGAGCACAGCAGCGCTCCCACCGAGGGTTCGGATCTCATATAGAGACTGGTCCGCTCGCTGGTTGAGTGCAGTGCGGGCGCAACACCAAGGGTTGCGATCCCGTTGCCGGTTGCAGTACAGGCGCAACACTGAGGGTTGCGATCCCGTTGCCGGTTGCGGTACGGGCGCGACACTGAGGGTTACGATCCCGTTACCGGTCACGAAAAAAGACAAAAAGCAAATATTTATTGAGTGCCTTCATGTGCAAGGCCAAACAACACAGGAAATTCAGTGTATAGAGTCATTCTAATAAGAGAAAGAAAATATGAGCACAAATATTGAATTGTTATACAAGGAAACTACTACCATGAGAAGAGCACAAAACAAGTGCCATCTGAGTTGAAAGGAAAGCAAAATCAATTCCTGATAGGGTGAGTAGGGAAAGAAGGCTTTGTGGAGGAGATGGCTTTGAAGAGTACATGAGTTTTCAATAGGTGAAGATTGGAGGGGGAGGGGAAATACCTCCCCTAATCTGGATAAAAGCAATGGCATGATTAAAGGCTCAACGGTGGGAAAGGCTACTATTTGAGAAACATTTTGTAGTTCATTTGGGAGATGCATGAAAGGACATAGAAGGAGATGACAGAAAATAAACCTGGAAAAGTAGGCTGGGGAAAATAATCTAACCTGAGGCAAAGATGGGCCTTCCAAGCACAGAGTAGGCACTCAAACAAAATTGAATGAAATATAATGAAGGTCTCTGGTACACAGTATTCCTGGATTTAGTCCCTGTCTTTAAATCCACAGTACATCTAGAAATGAAAGAGAATTCACACATTTTCTCCATGGCTTAGTTATTGTTCTGTCTGAAAACCTTAACTTATCTGAGCTCTCTTAAGTCTGTTTTTCAGCAGTTCCCTAACAGTAGTAGAAATACTCAGGATTCAAATCACAAGAAGTCCATACTACATAAGAAATTCCAGTGACATGACAAAATTTGGCCCCTCTTAGCACCTGTTGGATACTTAATGACTGAGATTCAACCAGATTCCCTGTCAGATGGGTAACATAGCCAGTAATGTCAGCCTAGGGCTGTGTATTTTGCTGGAAAGAACTGTCTACCCATCTTGAAGCTCTAGAACAAAGATGGCCTCCAGCCTAATTGAGCTGCTTCAAGGAAAGTTAAACCATGTCTTCAGCCTCTGATTTCCTTCACAAAACCGAGTTTTTGGCAGAAATGAGATTCATACTTTGCTAGACCAATAAGCCCCAAGATATCAGTCTATCCTGCACATCTCCTCAGTCTTATTAGTATTATTCAGACAAGAAACCCGGTCATATCAGAATGCGCACCAATGACCCTGACCCTAGTTCATCCCAGAATGAGTCTTCTCGTTCTGCTCACTGCACTCCTTAGCCAAGAGACCAAAGGAGAGGGGTTTCCTACACTAGGAGCAGATGGTACTTCTTGTCTCTGGGAAATACAAATCAGGAGATCCTGTCAGGATTATGACTGGGACTTTGGTTTGAAATTTATCTCACACACACATACACACAAAGTCTTCTCTAACCAGCCTGAAAGGATATAACATTCTACTCCAGGTAATTATCTCCTGAGATTTAAGTGGGAAAGGAGAGGGAAATGGAATTATGTATGTTTGTATGCATGAATATCCAGCTTCATAGTTCAGAGGAATTACATTAATGGGTCAGATCAAGAAAATTATAAGGAATTCAAATTCTTACGTACTCTGCTGCTCTCCCCAGCCCAAATAGGTCCAGTGACCTAAGAAAACCACAAAGAAGCACAGTGACAGAGACAATTTAGAAGGAATTCAAAGACCATTTATTTCCCCATCCCACCAACTATGATACGCCTTATCTTATTTGAGCCTATTCCACTTATATTCCATTAACTTTACATAACATATAGAGTATATCTGCCTTCTACCAAACATTAGACAAATGTGCAAAGTATTTGTGCTCTCTGCTATTCACTATATAGAGAATAATAACAGCAACAAAAACTACTGCTTCCATAATGTTTTAAACCTCTTTCTGGCCTAGGTCTCTCTCAGAGCATCATTTAGGAACTCATATGTCTTT